TAGAGTAAATTGCCGTATTCAGATCAATTGTTGGATTATGTCATGAACTGCTAAAAGATAGTGATGATCCCTTGAGTCTATTATAAGTACCATTTTAGTTTGATGTCCATTTTATTGATTTGTTTATGATGATAATTGAGAAATAAAGAAGCATTGTGGCATATCAGATATTATCATACATGGAAAATATCCTTTGGAACATGGTGGTAATTACATCTGGTTATGTATTTTATTTTATTTGAAATTCAGAAAAAGTTAAAACGTTCCAAAACTTTTTCCCAACAAACTTGATTTGTCATTTCTGTCATACAAAACTATTCTGTGACAAAATGTTGACAAATATTCTCTGACAATAGCATGAACAGGATGGTGTATATAGCGACAATTTTTTTTACGTCCACAACAACATGAAAGTCATTTCTTGGGAAAAGAATTTATGTTGGTGCAACGTGAAAAACATTATTATTGGAGATATATCATGTATGAATGAAAAACTATATAAATATCAACCCGTATTTTGATAATTATTTGATGACAAGTGAGACGTGCGTTGCACGTGCAAGCTTACTAGTTCCTGTAAAAATAGATTAAGAGGTTAATTAATTAGTCATCCCTTTGAATAGTAATGCTCACCTTTTGTGATATTTGGATTGGATGGTGAACTTCATAAACTCACCTCATCTCCCCTTCTTCCTAACGTATACCCCCTTCGCTAGTCTCATGAAGACGAGATCTCTGAAGAATCAACATAGTACCTGTAGAAAGAAAATAGTTATGTACCAGTAGGAAGCAACCCTATGCATGTCCTCACTCGTTAATAATCTCAGGCCATGATTGCATCAGCATCCAATTGTTTTCGGTCTGCTACATGGATCAATTAGTTTGGAATAATGACCAAAATATCAAACTACTGGATGAGATTGTTTTCAGTCTGCAAGACAGATCATTTTTCTTGAAATAATCACAAAGCTATCAAACTACTAAATGGAATGAACTATAGGGGGTGCTATTCGAACGAAACTATCGGCATGCAGAAGTACAACTTTCAGCAATGGTAATAAATAGAATGACCTAGACGCATGCCAAGCAATGTGAAAATGAATGTTCTTTGCGTAAACATTTCTTCAGCTTTAGCTAGTAACAAATATGTAATTCGCCATATGATATCAATACAGTGGAACATATAAGTACGTTCTTTTCCAAAACATAGCACAAGGAACCAAACCATCCAATTGGTCGGTTCGCATAAAATCAATCCACATACTTGTCATGTAGCAGACATTTTTACCTTTGATAAACTAAGTAATTAACATTCGCAGCTATTGTTATATTTTCTTGTTAGGAAAAGCAATCAAAATTCCCAAAGGCGTTAAGTTGTCACATAGTTGTATGTCTGTGTGTCTTGTCCAGAAGGTTTAAGCAACTGCCAAATGTGGCCTTTAAGCAAGTTGAGATTACTTTTTGCGGAGAATAAATATGATCCCAAAAGAATAATTCCCTATGGCGGCTTGGAAAATAAATGCGCTGCCGAGTAATTAACTTCATAATTATGCACACAAGCCAACCATAATCAAGCACACAAGTCATCTGCATCTTCCCCTAAAAAAATTCATCTACATTAGTACCGTTACACTAACATGTCGCAACAACACGTTATTTCAGCATTATTCCCTTGGAATATGTACAGTGTAGTGATGAATGTGTGGAACAAAAAAGAGAGGTGGCATTATGTTTGGTACCTTAAAGAAGGCCTTGTTCTTGAGCTGGTTGTCCAGTGCTCATGAACTGAAAGAAACAAGAAGACCAGGATGAATAAACAACCAACGACACACAACTTGCTGATATTATAGGCCCTGCCGATTGATTCGCAGACAAGCAAAACGTCAATCAGACCTCATCGAACTGTACTTGGACGCTGATGGCATGATCGGGGCTAAGGACCATCTTGTCCAGCGTCTCCATGACGGCCCTGCCGATGGCGGACTGCCAGTACAACTCAAACGCCCCTGCCATCCCTACTCTGAACCCTCTCCCTGCTAATCAACATTATCAGAATTCAGAACAACACCAACATTTTCAATTCCAGTCAGACGGACACACCGTCACGCTGGAATCCAAAAAAATCAAGCAGATAATATGCAATGATTTCTCTGTTCTTAATACACTTGTTGCCATGCTTGTGTTGTACAGTCTGTACAACATCTGAAAGTGTTGTATTTTAGCTTTGCATGGTGAACAATGTATGCACGGGGAGTCTGAATGACATGGTATAACCATCCAAGTACGCACCCATGCATCATCATGAAGTAGTGGAATAAGAATGAAGTAGTGGAATAAGACACCTGAGAGTTGAAGGGATCAGACTTGCATTGTTGAATTAGCACCACAACCAAGCCAGGTCGTAGGTGTGGGTCACGGTGGTGAAGGTGGACTGAATCCGCCTGGATACAGATTTAGGCCGCGTTTGGATTACCGTGTTTCCTTCCGATACACCTGTAAAAAATACACGCCCCCGTACGTCTGTATCTTTTCCGGCCGCAAATTAGTCTAGCCCTGTAAAATACACTTGTAAAATTCACACACCTGTATTAAGTTACACTCAATCCAAGCGCGGCCTTACCGTGCATTGCTGGACCATATATTTGTGATCCTTCAACTGTAGTTACACGTGTGTTCAGTAGAGGTAGCATCGCAGTGCTGTATAATCGAAATCAGACCATCTTGGCGATGTACCGTGGAAGGGCACCTTACAAAGTTGTACGTGCTTTCACCATGAACTTGTAGGAGCACCCCATGTTGTTGAGCGTTGTTGAGCGGCCCGCCGGCGTGGTCCTTGCAGAGATCCTTGACGAAGACCTGCCATGCCCAAATCGAAACCATCATCAGCGCAGGCGCAGCCACTTGGATTGACACAGATTAGGGGAGATTCCAACAATTTGTTTATCTATTAACGGACAGAGGGAGGTGGTTCTATTTTTCTTCCAACAATTGGTTGCTGTGAATTGTTGTAAGAGGTGGATCAAGGCTTTTGACACCCAACCATTTGGTCAACTAAAAAAAATATAAAACAGCCATAACTTTTGCATACGACATCGAAAGAAAAGTTTTATATATCACAAAAAACTAGAGAAAAATTGGGACTCGATTTCACCCGGGTTTACCCGGTGAAGTTTTCTCAGATTCTCAAAATTCTAAAAGCAAAAAAAAGTTATTTCAAATCAAAAATAATAATTTTAAAAATTAATTTTATTTAAAAATAAATAAATGATGTAATATTTGGATTCCTCACATTTTTTTGATAATAATGGATATATTATTTGTCGAATTTCGATTTACAGATTTAAAGGTATTAATTATGTCATATTAAATGAATAAATGGCAAAAAAATGAATAAAACAATATTATTACTTACTTTATTTTCATTGAAATTCAATATTATTAGTACTTATTTTGTTTATTTTAATAATATTATCACTGATTCAAATGATATAGCAATCCGTTCCACAACCAACAACTTAATTTTCATTTCACGCTGTAGCTTGACTGAGTTGAGGAGGCCGTTTGAAGCTGACGGAGCAGTACCTTTATCTTCTTCTACAAAGTAGCACTAGCGATAAAACGGAGGCATGCAAGCAGAGTTTTTAGGCCCTGTTTGGTTCATAAGTTCTAGGACTTTTTCTAGTCTCAACTAAAAAGTCTCTAGTTCATAAAAAGTCCCTTTCTGTTTGTTTCCAGAGATTAAAAAGTTCCTAGTCCCTTCCTAGGGATTATTAAATGACCATATTGCTCCTAGTATATAGAAAAATAACAATTAAACAACACCATGGGATGGCGGGCCATTGAATGCATGAAGGGGCATTGTTGGAAAAGTCCCAAAAAGTCTCAAAAAGACTCTCCTTGAAAGTCTTCTTCATTTAGTCTCAAATGCCTAGTTTAATCCCTAAAAAGTCCCTCCCATTTGATAAAAAAGTCTTTAAGAGAGACTTTTTCTAGTCCCTACACAAATAAGTTCCTGGAAACAAACACCCCCTTACTCGATCGGCCTAACATAGTAATAAGTGATGCATGAAGCAATACGTTGGCAGCTTCGCACCCAACCAGGATACGAATAAATCAATTTACTCTAGCATTGGATAGAAGCCGTCGTCAAGCGTAGGGCAGCATGCATGCGTGCAAAAACGTACGTACAGAAAAATAATTACATATGTAGCATTTTTTTCTATATATGATAATGAAAATACGAACGTAGATTTGACCGAGAACATTTGGCGGCTGATTCAGTCAAGGGACACTTTGTAAAAATGGAAACACTTCCAGCGGCCGGTCACACGATATAACGCAAGCGCGAAACTGGTGGGAACTCGGATCGGTGGAGAATCAGATTGCGCGGCGGCAGTGGAGAGCCGATGGCGTGCAGAGCGCGGCGGCGGGGCGGGCGGTACGACGTGGCGGCGCGAGGACGCCACCACGTTGTCGGTTGGCAGTTATCGCCGACGGTGGCGGAAGCGCCCGGTGTTAGCGAGGCAGGGGGCGCCACCGAAGCCGTGGGCTAGAGGCGAGGGGGCTGCGAAAGATGCGGGGAGGCGTAGCGCCGGGAGTGGGGGGCGAAAGGGCACATGGCCCTTTGCCGGAGGGGTCGCGTACGTGCTCACAGTAGCGACATTAACACGCCCCTTGTAAAAAACAAAAACTAATCGAGGAACATGTATGGAGTAGTGTTTGATAACCATAGAACATACTCCATCCGTTTCAAAATAGACGACTCAACTTTGTACTAAGTTTAGGGAGGGAGTATTTAATTTGAGGGCTCTGGTATATAAATTAAATTATAAGATATATATAGTATAAATGGGTACACTGCACGCACGGACAGCCTTATTTTCACGACATCGTCTTATTCATCTTATGTAACAAACTTTATTCTCCACACTCATTGTATGTACGCGTATTTATGCTGGTGGTGGTATCGTCCGCTACTAGCTACGATGATACCTTCTTCCTCATGGGCAGAAGGTAACCTGGTAGCTGTTGTTGTTGCCGTTACAGGCGTGGTTCTTGGTGTCATCGGTCGGGAAGAGGTAGGCGTCGGGGCACTTGTCGGCCTGGCACACCAGGTTGGGCCCGTTGCTGCAGGAGAATGACAACGGCACGTTGAAGCCGTCGATGACAGAGATGTCGTAAAAGTCCTGGCCGTTGCCGATGGTGAACTCGGCCAGGGTCAGCGGCGGCTGCCCGGACAGCGTGCACGACAGCGCACCGCCGCAGTCGGCAGTCTGGCAGCTCCCGGAGTTGCCGTTGAAGTTGCAGCCCGTGCGGCCCCACACCCTGCCGGAGGGCGTGTTCGCGGGGACGTCGAGGGTCCACGTCTCGCCGGTGTTGAGCTGCCGACCGCCGCCGATCGGGGTGGCCGCCGGCCACACCGTGTAGGGGCAGTTGTTCTTGATGTTGAACGTCGCCGCGTTCGTGCTGGCAGCGAACACGGCAAGGAAGAGGACCATGGAGGCGGCTGCTGCCAGGTGGGACGAAGCCATTTCAAGTTGCTTTGCTTCTGTGTCGTCTACACGTGGTTTGGTAGTAGTGCGGGATGACTGATGTGCTAGGGACGAAGGGGCATGGGTATTTATAGATGGCCGGGACTCCGGGATGGAAGGACAACTGGGATAAAGTCAAGGATGGTGTCCTTGAGTCAATTCGTGTGACTTGGAAATTTCCACGCATTCATTATCAATCAACAGGGAGACTCGACTCTGTCCATGAGCCACTTCGCAATCGCATAGATTTATCTTTCACACAGATCAGGATCGAAAACACGTACGTACGTGTAGTTCCATGCACCACATATCAAGTTGTTGGAACTTGCAAGAACAACTCTTCCTTCTTCATAATAATACTTCCTCCTTTTCGGTTTATAAGGCTCAATTCAAAAATCTCATCAACCAAGGTAGATGATGAGTGGTGGAATATTTTTTGTAGTTTGCAAAAGGACCCAATTAATGCTCTTGTTTTCCTCACAAAATTATGTTTACGAATGCATTAATTGCAATGTATGCATGCATAAAGTGCATGCATTAGTCAGTTTTCTCTTAATACTTGCCTGCAATGATTTAATGCACCTTGAAATCTGAACATGTGATGAGGAACAACCAAATTGAGCCTCATAAAATGGAAAAACTAAAATTTTGAGATAAGCCCTATATAAACCAGAAAGAAGGGAGTAACAATGAAGTTTCGTCCGCAGCACAACAGGCACCAGCAAAAAGTAAGAGAAATCACAGCTACTACTTTTTTGTCGAAAATATCATACTAGTGAAGAAGTTAGTAGTTAGGCCCGGCAGAAAGAAGGATCCATAGACTAGTAGTTAGGCGCGGCAGCCCCACAGTTTTTGGTTTCCTACATATCGTCCAGATGAATCCTTTTTTCCACAGATTTTTCCATGGACTGACCGCCTACTAGTCTATGGATCTTTCTTCCACAGATTTTTCCATGGAATTTTCTTTTTTCCACAGATCTTAGCACGAGGTGTACTCAACCTGCAACTGTACATATGTGACTGCCCTAGCTTACAAGTTTAACCGAGCTTAAATCTTCGTATATTAACCAGCTTGGCGGCCCTTGCACTAGAACGAGGGCATTAGATGGACCATATTGATTGTAAATGACAAATTCTAACCACCAATGCAACACAGCAACGAAAGCAAAACTTAGACAAGCTAGCAAGCGCTATACAACTCTGCTAGATTTAATTTCCTCGCAATGCGTCAGATTGGCCAGTTGCCGTTTTGAGCATGCTGCCTAACTTTATTCGCTGACCAGTCGTTTGTGAACAATGAACCTTCTTCACTAGTATGATATTTTCGCCAAAAAAAGTAGTAGCTGTGATTTCTCTTACTTTTTGTTGGTGTCCTGCTGTGATGGGGACGTAACTTCATTGTTAAAACAAATCAAAATATCTCTTAACTTCCAACAATTGGTTGATGTGCATGTATCCTTCTCCTTCCTTTATTGGCCCGTCTATCTTATTATATCTTTTTGATCCAACCGGATAATTCTCATAAACTCACGGTCATATATAAATTGGTAAAATTTACTCTAAAGAAGCGAGGTGGGACTATGTAAAATTCAGCGAACCCACCAAAATAGCACAAGACAATTCTAGCTTAGTTGGTTGCTGCTGTGGTGAAGTTAGGAGACGCCACGAGTTCTAGTCCCGGCCCCAACATTTTTCTTTCGCTATTTTATGTAGCCCTAGAGCAGGCCCAACAACTAGACAAGCCCAAAAGCAATGGAGAGGAGAAAAATAATGATAACTTTGACGGCAGGTGGTCGTTTATGTTCAATACCATTATTGAAAGCTTAGATCTAAGGGAGATAGAGCTTTCTGGTAGAAAGTTTACCTGGGCTAATGCTCTGCCAAACCCGACGTATGAAAAGTTTGATCGGGTTCTCGCCAGCGTGGAGTGGGAACAGAAGTTCCCTCTTGTTACGGTGCAAGCTCTCACGCGGGGAATCTCCGATCACACACCATTGTTCGTTGACTCAGGGGAGCCGAACCATATGGGAAACAAAGACACCTTCTCATTTGAGATGGCCTGGTTCGAACGCGAGGGGTTCTTAGACATCATAGCCAGGAAGTGGGCCAAGGGTGTTGGAGGAAGGACGGCGGTCGAGCGCTGGCAGAATAAAATTAGGCATTTGAGAAGTTTCTTACGGGGTTGGGCTAAGCACCTCAGTGGGGTGTATAAGATTGAGAAGGATAGGCTCCTCTCTCTTGTACAGGCCTTGGACGTAAAAGCCGAATCCGCGATATTGCTGCCCGCCGAGCTCCAGGTTAAAAATGAGGCGGAGAAGAGGCTGAAAGAACTTCTCCGAGAAGAAGAATTGAAGTGGGCTTTGCGTGCCAAGGTCCGCAAAGTAGTCCAAGGGGACGCGAACACTCAATTCTTTCACCTCATTACTAATGGTAAGCACAGAAAGAAGCGGATCTTTCAGCTAGAGCAGGATGATGGTACTATTTTAGGTCAGGATAATCTCAAAACCTACATTACCGAATACTATAGACAGTTATTTGGACCGCCGGAGGACGATTGTGTGTCCCTCGATGAGTCCAGGATCGAGGACGTGCCTCAATTGTCTGCTGCTGATAATGATATCCTGGTTGCCCCGTTCTCAGAAAAGGAGGTGTTAGATGCTATTGCACAAATGAAAAATAATAAGGCTCCCGGTCCGGATGGGTTCCCGGCTGAGTTCTATAAAAAGTGCTGGCATATTATTAAGGGGGATTTACTACCGATGTTTCATGATTTATTCTCTGGACAGCTTCATTTATTTCACTTGAATTTTGGAACTATCACATTGCTCCCAAAGAAAACGGATGCTGTGAGGATTGAGCAGTTCAGACCGATCTGCCTCCTCAATGTTAGTTTCAAAATCTTCACCAAGGTCGGGACTAATAGGCTCACACAGATTGCGCAGTCTGTGGTGCAGCAATCTCAAACTACTTTCATGCCGGACAGGAACATCCTTGATGGGGTGGTTGTTCTTCATTAAACGCTCCATGAAATCCATTCCAAAAAATTAGATGGAGTAATTTTTAAGGTGGATTTCAAAAAAGCGTACGATAAGGTTAAGTGGCCATTCCTCCAACAGGCACTGCGTATGAAAGGTTTTGTTGAAGCCTGGCGCCGACAGGTCGAGTCCTTTACGCAAAAAAGGAGTGTGGGAATTAAAGTGAATGACGACATAGGTCATTACTTCCAGACACATAAAGGCCTAAGACAAGGAGATCCGATGTCCCCTATCCTGTTTAACATTGTGGTGGATATGTTAGCAATTTTGATAGGAAGGGCTAAGGAGAATGGTCAAGTGGGTGGGTTGGTACCTCATCTTGTTGAGGGAGGTGTTTCCATCCTTCAGTACGCCGATGATACAATCATCTTTATGGAGCATGATTTGGCCAAGGCGAGAAATATGAAGCTAGTGTTATGCCTATTTGAACAATTGACCGGGTTAAAGATTAACTTTCATAAGAGCGAGTTGTTCTACTTTGGTAGAGCCAAAGACGACCAGGAGTCTTATAGGCAATTGTTTGGGTGCGAGTTGGGGAGTTTACCCTTCTCTTACCTTGGTATTCCGATTCACCATCGTAGGCTTACAAACAGAGAATGGAAGTGCATCGAGGATCGATTTGAGAAAAAACTGAGCTGTTGGAAGGGTAAGCTCATGTCATACGGAGGCCGCTTGATATTGATTAATTCGGTGCTCACGAGTATGCCTATGTTTCTCTTATCTTTCTTTGAGGTCCCAGTTGGTGTTAGGAAACGACTGGACTTCTATCGGTCGCGTTTCTTTTGGCAGGGTGATGAACTTAAAAGAAAATACCGGCTTGCTAAATGGGACATCATCTGTAGACTGAAAGACCAAGGGGGTCTTGGTATTGAAAATCTTGAAGTTAAGAACAGATGCCTTCTTAGTAAGTGGTTGTGGAAGCTGTCTTCCGGGACTGAGGCCATGTCGGCGCAGATCCTCCGCAACAAGTACCTCCAGACTAAAACATTGTCCCAGGTCGCAGTCAGGCCGACTGATCGCCTTTCTGGAAAGGACTAATGAAAGTCAAACAATCTATGTTCAATAGGACGAGATTTGTTATTGGAAACGGTACAAGTACACGTTTCTGGGAGGATACTTGGCTTGGTGAATCACCTTTAGCCATTCAATATCCGTCTTTATATCGGATTGCTCAACGACACAAGGTGTTCGTGGCAACGGTATTCCAATCTGTCCCCCTTAATATTCAGTTTCGACGGTCGCTAGCGGGCAATCGTTGGGAAGAATGGCTCCATCTAGTTAGGAGACTGATGGAGGTTCAACTTTCTCACCAACCCGATATATTGCGCTGGAAGTTGACTAGCTCTGGAGTATTTACAGTTAAATCAATGTATATTGATGTTATTAATTCGAATGCTATTCCAACTTCCAAGTATGTTTGGGCTGTCAAAGTTCCTTTAAAAATTAAAGTGTTTATGTGGTTTGTCCATAAACAAGTTATTTTAACAAAGGACAACTTGATTAAACGCAATTGGACAGGACCTACTAGGTGTAGTTTCTGTGATCGGGATGAGACGATTAAGCATTTATTCTTTGATTGCCCGTTGGCCAAAGTTCTTTGGCGGACGGTCCATATTGCTTTTAATATTACTCCACCGACTTCGGTCAATGCTTTATTTGGGACCTGACTTAATGGGGTTGAGCCTGCATTAGCAAGACATATTCGGGTTGGAGTTTGCGCTTTGTTATGGACTATCTGGAATTGCAGAAATGATTTGGTTTTTAACAGAACATCACGGATTCATTTTTTGCAGGTTATTTTTCGAGCTACGGCACTGATCCGTTCGTGGTCGCTACTCACTCTGATGGAGGCCAGGGAGCATTTGGTTACTGGTTCTATCTGTTGGGAGATGGTAGCTCGGGATATCTTCAACCGGTTTGGATGGCGGTCAAGTAATAGGATAGGCAATTAGTTTCCCTATCTAT